CCCTTAAAGGGGAGGAGTAACATTGTAAAGTATGACAAGAGATGCAATTAGGACCAATGGATAAAAACCGGGCCAGGCGAATCTTACCTTTCTTGCAGGAGTTGCCCAGTGGAGCTGCCCTAAGCTGGATTGCTCTCTAGTTGAGGTAATACGAAATATGGACGTCATCATCTCACAGGTGATTAAGTTTTAAGTCAGGGCTAAATCTGTATGGGTAAATACCAATTAGCCATAGTTACCTTTTTAAATTAAGCTGCTTAACCTACAATATGGCAGATAAGAAGCCACCTCACAAAATTCAGTTGCTCACGAAATCCCTGTGGAACAGTCCCTCATTACCACCCACTGGACATTTTATAGCTTTATAAATTGAGGCACGGTGAGGTTAAATGGCTTGTTTGAGATTTGATGAATAGATGGGAGAGTTGAGAGAGGATGAAAGGTTTCCTGTTTCCTGTTTGTGGACCCATTCATCAGCCCAGCAGAATGTTTTCTTTTTAAATATTTATTTATTTATCTATTTGGCTGCGCCAGGGCTTAGTTGCAGCACACAGGATCTTTTTTAGTTGTAGCACGTGGAGTCCTTAGTTGTGGCACACGGGCTCTTAGTTGTGACATGTGGGATCTAGTTCCCTGACCAGGGATGGAACCCGGGCCCCCTGCATTGGGAGCGTGAAGCCTTAGCCATTGGACCACCAGGGAAGCCCCCAGCAGAATTTATCAGTGTTCTTATTTTTCAAAAGAGTTTACAAGAAGGGTGTTTGTCTCTGTTCCCACAGCATTTTGTAGAAACCTCTTAAAGTGCTTATCACTTTTCACTAGAAATATTTGCTTGAATTTTTCTGTCAGTGACCAACACTGTATTCTGTTTATATTTGTATCCTCAGGGCCCAAGCACTCAGGAAATATATATTGAATGACTGAATGAGAGCTGAAAAACCTGAGATTTGCTAAAGCCTGACCACAGCTAGGTTTTCCTTTAGCTGAGTTTCTAGTTTAAATTAATTTGGTCTCCAGTAGTGACTTCTAATTTTGACTTAGGTTGACCACAGTGTTATGAGTTATGTGTATATATTCTGAAAGTAAAGAGAATGAATGGTAGTTACTTGTGTTTGCCGTAGGGATCCATTTTTTTGTTTCAATGTTGTAAAATTTTTTATCTTTAATAATCTTGATATCTGGGACTTCCCTGGTGGTGTAGTGGTTAAGACTCCGTGCTCCCAATGCAGGGGGCCTAGGTTCGATCCCTGGTCAGGGAACTAGATCCCATAGGCATGCCGCTACTAAGAGTTCCCATGCCACAGCTAAGGAGCCAGCGAGCTGCAACCAAGGAGCCCACCTGCCACAAGTAAAGAGCCCGCCTGCCACAACTAAGACCCAGTGCAACCAAATGAATAATAAATAAATAAATATTTTTAAAAAATCCTGTTATCTGCCCCTAAAACATAGATTTGAAAATTGTGGCTTATACTTAATGTAAGTGCACATGCTATAATACTCTGGGTTCTCTGGAACACATGAGAAGTAAAACTTAACTTGATAAAACCGTGTTTAAATGCTTAGAAAAAGATTTGACTGTAAAATGATTAAGTAGAAAAGTGAGTGATTTTGGATGTGACTTTCTGTCTGTGTTAAAGATATTTTGAATAATTACTAAGGATCTTTCACAGGGGAAAGGAAAGCATATTATGTTATATGAGTCAAGAATTTCCAGTTAGGTGAGAGAAAAAGTATAAGAAACTGCCCATTCTAGGAGCTAGTAGTCATCCATTTGAAACAAACTTTATGGCTTTTTTTTTGGCGGGGGGTAGATGTATGTTCTGTTACCTGCATTTAGAGAAAAAGTCGCTGATCTGTTTGTGGTAATTTGTTATAAAGCTTCTGATCTGAGTGAAGCCACGGTTTGTTTGGAGAATTTACTGCCCACAGCCTGTTAGACGCCTCTTGGAAAAACAGTTGTCATGACAGTAACTTAGACTCACCCCCAAAGAATTCAACAGATTATCTGGAAAGATTGCATCATCTTTAGCTAATGTGCTGTGTTCTGCTCATGTGATGCTGGTTAGTCTGCTGCTCTGAAAGGTGTGTAAGAGGACAGAGAAAACAGAGGCCAATTTTATATAGGTTACTATTCATACATTCCATGGTTACCAATAAGAGTGCTAAAAAGTCCCATTTGCCAGATCTAGAACTAGTACTTTCCTTAGCATGGACACACTGGCTGCTAACATAGCAGACTCTCACACTATCTGTCAGACACTGACTAAACAGTTTTATGTGGATTATTTTATTTAATCTTCACAGCAATCCTGTAATTATCACCATTTTACTTATGAGGAAGCTAAGATTGATTGATTTATTTATGGCTGCATTGGATCTTAGCTGCAGCACTTAGGCTCTTTGTTGTGGCGCAAGGGCTTCTTTCTAGTTGTGGCACGCAGGCTTAGTTGCCCCGCGGCATGTGGGATCTTCATTCCCCAACCAGGGATCGAACCTGCGTCCCCTGCATTGAAAGGCAGATTCTTAACCACTGGACCACCAGGGAAGTTCCGAAACTAAGATTTAGAAACTAAGCAACTTGACTAATTCATAGACAGAGCTGGCATTTGAATTTGTTCAACTTGGAGCCCATGCTTACTTAGTCTGTGTTAGCATATTTCTTCCTTTGCTCTCTTCTGAGCCATCAAATTCAGTCTCAGCCACTGGATATCTTTTTCCTTTTGTTGGTTTACATGGAAAAATGGCCTTTTCTGTGTAGTTCCCTACGGAGAAGGTCACCTTTCATTTCTTCAGCAAATGTTTGTTGAGTGTCTCCTGCTGTGCACTGTGGATTGCGGTGCTGGACACAACGGTTCCTGCGTGGAGTTTTCTCCAGCCTCCAACTCCATCTTTCCTCAGTGACACCTGTCATGACACCAGGATGTTTCTGAACTGTCCGGGGACTGCCTGCCCTCTGTCACCCTTCACATGCTGTCCTGCCTAGAGTACCTTAAACTGTAACTGCTTTGGTTCCTTAAATCAGTTTCACAAAGAGTTTGTCTTTCAGAGAAAAAGTATGTAGCTTTGAGACTTTAACATTTTCCATTTTCAACAAAGCTTAAATAGAGGGGCTTCCCTGGTGGTGCAGTGGTTGAGAGTCCGCCTGCCAGTGCAGGGGACACAGGTTCGTGCCCCGGTCCGGGAAGATCCCACATGCCACGGAGCGGCTGGGCCCGTGAGCCATGGCTACTGAGCTTGCGTGTCTGGAGCCTGTGCTCCGCAACAGGAGAGGCCACAACAGTGAGAGGCCCGCGTACTGCAAAAAAAAAAAAAAAAAAAAAGCTTAAATAGAGCTGGAAAAAAATGTGTATCATCCCAAACTCATAGAAAACTATATTCAGAGAAAAATTAGAACAAAATAGCTTTGGTATTAAAAAGCAAATTAGTATTGGTCTTAAGAAGTTAGGAAGGAAAGAGTAATAGACAACAAGGAAGTGGGAAAAAAGGAAATAGTGAGATAAAAAGTGAATTAAATAAAATAGAGAACATTAAAAACAAAAAGGAAAAACTTAAAAGCTGGTTCCTTGTGAAGATCGATAAAATAAGTTACCTTCCCAAAGTAAGTCTACATTTAACACAATCCCATTGGACTTTTTTTTTAATTAACCGAAATGATTTTTAAATTTATTAAATCAGTAAACCTACATAACCTAAATGTCTCCCAGTGGGGGCTGATTTAATAAACTGGAGTGAATCTGTATAGTGGAATGACGTGCGATTGTAAACACAAGGAGGACGTTCTCTGTCTTGATGTGGAATAAAGCGAGGTGCAGGACAGCTCATGTAGTACAGGTGCAAGACAGCTCACTTTTTGTATGTAAAAATGAAAGGGAGGAGTAAAAACATGAATTAACATTTCCTTTTTAAAAAGAAATTATTTATTTTTGGCTGTGTGGGGTCTTTGTTGCTGCACGTGGACTTCCTCTAGTTGCGGCGAGTGGGGGCTACTCTTCATTGCAGTGCGCGGGCTTCTCATTGCGGTGGCTTCTCTTGTTGCGGAGCACGGGCTCTAGGTGCGCGGGCTCAGTAGTTGTGGCACGTGGGCTCGGTAGTTGTGGCTCATGGGCTCTAGAGTGCAGGCACAGTAGTTGTGGCACACGGGCTCAGTAGTTGTGGCTCGCAGGCTCTAGAGTGCAGGCTCAGTAGTTGTGGCGCACAGGCTTAGTTGCTCCGCGGCACGTGGGATCTTCCCGGACCAGGGCTCAAACCTGTGTCCCCTGCATGGGCAGGCGGATTCTTAACCACTGCACCACCAGGGAAGCCCCAGCATTTGCTTTTATATGCACAAAGAAAAGCTGGGAGGAGGATACACTCTACATCAATAGCGGTAGCTACCTGTGATGGGGAGGGTGGGATAGTTAGGGACAGGAGTTTAGTAAGAGAGGCTTTTCCCTGGATACATATATTTAAAAGTTTTTGAACTATGAGAATGCATTGGCTATTCAAGAATTAATTCATGGGCTTCCCTGGTGGCGCAGTGGTTGAGAGTCCGCCTGCCGATGCAGGGGACGCGGGTTCGTGCCCCGGTCCGGGAAGATCCCACATGCCGCGGAGCGGCTGGGCCTGTGAGCCATGGCCGCTGAGCCTGCGCATCTGGAGCCTGTGCTCCGCAACGGGAGAGGCCACAACAGTGAGAGGCCCGCGTACCGCAAAAAAAAAAAAAAAAAAAAAAAAAGAATTAATTCATTATAAAGAGTTACCTTTTTAATCAGTAAGAAAAAGGTGAACATCCCAAATGAAAAATGAGTAAAGTGCACGTTGTGATACATCTGTACTGTGGATACTAAACAGCTGCCATAAAATAGCGGGAAAATGGACCAAAATGTCAGCAGTGAGTGTTCCTGGGTGTTGAGATTACAGGAATAACATTTATTTTTTGTTCATAATGTTCTTAATTGCCTGCGGTGACTCGCTTCTTGTATAATTAGGGAATTTTTTTTAATTAAGGAAAAAGAGGGAATTCCCTGGTGGTCCAGTGGTTAGGACTCTGTGCTTTCACCGCTGGGGCCCAGGTTCGAGCCCTGGTTGGGGAACTAAGACCCCATGAGCCCTGAGGCTCAGCCAAAAAATTTTAAAAAAAGAAAAAAGAAGCTTAGCTAAAAGTAAGAAAATCAGTATTCTGAAGAATAATAGTAATAAGGGAAAGCCAGCCCCAGGAAATACCATGCAGGTTGTGAAGTAGCAGTAATCAAAATGCCATGGCAGTAGCACAGATACTGAACTTTTGAAACTGTAAAAAGACTCAGATCTGTTCTTATGTGCATGTGAGAGAGAATATGATAAAATGAGTATTTGAAATAGAAAAATAATGGCAAAGGAAGAAATAATAAATGCTGATGGGATAATTTTGGAAATAATGTTTGCATGTTATGTCAAACAACAGCTGGGACAAAGAGACATTTAAAAAGATTCACAGCTTTGAACAGTTCACGTAAAATGTGAAGCACAGTCATTTTAATAGTTGTGAAGAAATGGAGAGCCTCACAGTGGAAAATATCAATATTTAAAATATTTTAAAGAGGACTTCCCTGGTGGCGCAGTGGTTGGGAGTCCGCCTGCCGATGCAGGGGACGCGGGTTCGTGCCCCGGTCCGGGGGGATCCCACATGCTGTGGAGCGGCTGGGCCTGTGAGCCGTGGCCGCTGGGCCTGCGCGTCCGGAGCCTGTGCTCCGCAGCGGGAGAGGCCACAACAGGGAGAGGCCCGCGTACCGCAAAAAAAAAAAAAAAAAAAAAATTTTAAAGAATTTACATTTCATGTGTGTGGATGTGTGAATATTTGTCTTTAACATGTACGTGTTATTGCTTTACCTGGATAATGATGTAAAGGACGTTTGGGAACATAAACACAGCAATTGTTACAGTGGATTATGCATGAATTTTGTTTTTCTTTAAGGACGTAGGGGTTTTATTTTTGTAGCAAATATTTATTTTGAAGCAGAAACCTCCCTCCGGAGTAATAAGGTATTTTTTTAATTGGACTAAATGTTGATGACTGCGCATCACCTAGGCGATTTCATTATTGGACTATATCAGGTATCGGATCACTCTGGCGACTGAAGTCACCCAGGTGAACTTTGCTAACCTTTGGAGAGAACTCTTTGAAGAGTTGGAGAGGAGGTTAAGAGAAGAGCTGCTTGGAGAAATGATGGAACACAGTATTGGCTGCAGCTGCAAAGGATTAAGCTGTGAAATTGTAATTATGTTCATCTCTTCCTTTTAACGTTCTCTTCTTCCAGGTTGGTGGCACGAAGGCTGGCGTCGTCCGGTTTCTTGGGGAGACAGACTTCGCCAAGGGGGAGTGGTGTGGTGTGGAGTTGGATGAGCCTCTTGGGAAGAACGATGGGGCTGTCGCTGGAACAAGGTTTGTTTGCAGTTGGAATCTCATCTCCCTCTTGCATGTAAAGGTGCTCAAGCCGATCCCACCAACCGTGTATAATAAAATGGACGTGAGTGTTTTGAAGAGCTGCACTTTTATTTCCTAAGACTCATCTACAGGTTTTTCCCCCCACTAGAATCAGAGTCTTTCTTTTGACTGTCTGTTTTAGTAATACGTGCAGTGCGTCTGAGTAGATTCTGAGCAAGTATTTGGTTTATTTGTCTAACTATTTATTTTATTTTAAAAATTTATTAATTTTATTTATTTTTGGCTGTGTTAGGTCTTCGTTGCTGTGCGTGGGCTGTCCTAGTGGATCCTTAGCCACTGCACCACCAGGGAAGCCCTATCTATTTATTTTTAAGGCTTTTTTTTTTTTTAGAGCAGTTTTAGGTTCACAGCAGAATTGAGAGAAAGGTACAGAGATATCCCTCCTCTACCCCCTGCCCCACACATGCACAGCCTCCCCCATTATCAACATCCTGCACCCAAGTGGTCCATTTATGACAGCTGGTGAACCTATATTGACACATCATTATCCCCCAAAGTCTGTAGTTTATATTAGTTTATTCTTGGTATACATTCTGTGGTTTTAGACAAGTGTGTAATGACATGTTTCTACAATTATAGTATCATCTATAGTGTGTTCATTTTATTTTTCAAAATAGAAAGGAAATACTATGTCATCCTTTTGGCTGCTCTCCCTTTGATAGCAGTCAACGTCTGAATGAGTTTCTGGGCGTTGGAGTGTAGGGGGAGTGAGGAGAAGGAAGCTGCTTTTGTTAGGACGAGAACGCAAAATGTGTCTTTATATCTGGTGACAAGGATTCCATCCGGTGACAAGGATTCCATCCTGTGGCAAGAGGACTGACGGCAAGCACACCTATTCCACTGTGAGGATAACCCCAGTGTCACCTCACAGGGATAGGGTGGGAGTTAAGTCATGCAGATGAATGCAAGAGGCGTTTCCCACACTTCAGATGCTTTGAAGGCCTTGGGCACAGTTGTGGTCTCTGATGCATTATTGTTAGTAGTATAAAGTGTTATAGTTAACATTTTACTTATAAAATGTTTACAGACTGATTATAAGCATATAGGTCTTATGTACCAAATGCAATAATAATGCCTCGAGGAGATTAAAAAAATCTCTTGGTGCTGCAACGATTATGAAGCCATATCATTGATATCCTTCATATTAAGTTGTTATAATTCGCTGGAGTCGTGAGATCTCCAAGTGTCAGTACCAGTTGATACTACTCCACCTTTACTTGAGTGAATCTGCCAGAATTAGGTGCTTGTTTGATTTCTCTTGCCCTTTGTTTGGCAAGGTTTTATTAAGTGGGATCACTCCTCTGCTGTGTGTTTATCAGATAGTAGAAATACCTTCCCTGTGCGTAAAATCTTAGTAACAGATGAGTGATTCCATCTCTGTGTATCATACTGTTATTTCCTAGTGTGTTTTCTAAAACATTGTTGTGGGGCTTCCCTGGTGGTGCAGTGGTTAAGAATCCGCCTGCCAATGGGGGGGGACACAGGTTCGAGCCCCGGTCTGGGAAGATCCCACATGCTGCGGAGCAACTAAGCCCGTGCGCCACAGCTACTGAGCCTGCACTCTAGAGCCTGTGAGCCACAACTACTGAGCCCGTGTGCCGCAACTACTGAAGCCCACGTGCCTAGAGCCCTTGCTCCGCAACAAGCGAAGACACCACAATGAGAAGCCCGCGCACTGCAACGAAAAGTAGCCCCTGGTCACCGCAACTAGAGAAAGCCTGCACGCAGCAACGAAGATCCACTGCAGCCAAAAATAAATAATTTTTAAAAATAATAAATTAAAAAAAAACTATTATTATGGTTATTTATTAGCTTGCACACCAGTGAGTGCCACGGGCTGGTGCACCACCCCAGCTGGTTGGTAAAATTCACAGCAAACCAGTCACGAGTTACGAGTCAGGAGAGCTTTTTGGTTATAGTTGTATTTCTTGTAATTAACTTGCTTCTTGTTACTATTCCTGTTGTTGTCCCCTAAAGGTATTTTCAGTGTCAACCCAAATATGGCCTGTTTGCTCCTGTCCACAAAGTGACCAAGATCGGCTTCCCTTCCACCACACCAGCCAAAGCCAAGGCCGCTGCCGTGAGGCGGGTGATGGCGACCACACCCGCCAGCCTGACGCGCAGCCCTTCTGCCTCTTCTCTCAGCTCCATGAGCTCTGTGGCCTCCTCTGTAAGCAGCAAGCCCAGTCGGACAGGATTGGTAAGCCTCCTGCTGCGTGTTTCTGCGTCCCAGGCACTGTAAATGCCCCCCAACCCCACCCCGTCAGTGTGCCTGCTTTGCTTTAGGAGATGTTAAGTCTTCTCTTGCCCTTGTACTAAATGTTCTCTGTAGCTTGTGAATGTCCTTACAAATTTTGCAACAAAACAAAAACCTCTAGCAAGAATACAAGTTTGAAATAAAGAATTTTTTTAACAGCCCTTTTCAGGTTCCTTAGACTTTAAGATATAACAGTTCTTGGTGAATCTATAGTAACTACTACTTAGTCTAACATATGGGATGATTGAGTATTCTGAAATTATTTTGGCATCAGAAGGACAGGAGAATTGGAGGGATCCTTTTCCTCAAGGACCTGGGTGTCTTTCTCTTTGACATCAAACAATTTTAGGAACTACAGTCGTTTGAGAAAAGGCATGTTCTTAGAATTTTAGTGTTATGTTCATACAGTCTAACCCGCTGAAAGCAGTTGGTGTGTGGAGCGTTCCTGACTCAGGCCAGAGGATGCAGAGGGGAACTTAGGGAACTTGAAAGGATGCTAGGAAAAGCCATGTTTTGTTTTGTCTCCATCTCCCCCTTCCCCCACTCCCCCTTACTTTCTCCCTCTCTTTCCCATTTAGATCAGCAAGAGAAAATCATCAGAATCAAAATAGGCAGCATCTCATTCTGTTTGTTAATGTCATGCTTTTTTTTTAGCGTCAAAGCAATGACTTTTTGGCTTTGCTCCCTCCCACCCCCCACCCTTTAGTTTATTCACTGGAAGTGAGGCAAACACTGTTTAAATTTGAAGTGGCAGTATGAGGTTGTACCCCAGACTGAATTCAGGATCTCTGCTTTATGACAATGAACGACAGACAGGAGTTAGAACGTGAAGTGTCATGATCGGGCAGTAAGGCTGCTGGCCCTTGATCTCGTTTTGCCTTCTCTCCATTGACCTTGGGCAGGGAAGGCAACGGTTGGCCCTTGATCTCGTTTTGCCTTCTCTCCATTGACCTTGGGCAGGGAAGGCAACAGCGGAAGCGTCTTTCTTTAAAGTAGGGGTTATGCTTCTCTGGACTTTGTTCCTCTTATGTTCAAGTAAAATAAATACCTGCTTGGACTATGTCATTTTGCATATAAAAGTCTGCATCTTCAACAGAAAAATTACAAATGGACTTATGAGAAAAGCTTGTCAAGAACTTTTTGAATGTTTGAGTGAAATGGATGAAGAAACCCCTCTGTTTGGATGAAGCCTTGTTCAGAGTGGGTCAGCAAACTCTAAAGTGGAAATCGAGTTTACTAATCCAGGAACAATTCCGTGAAAGTATCTACCCTAGATTAGGAATTATTTCTTGTGTAATTTTTACTACGTTGTAATTAAGTGTCTGTTTCTTTGGAGATGCCCAAGCGCCCCC